TAAAGACGGCATCGAAGGAGGAGCTGAACAAGATCACAAAAAATAATTTTTTGAAGTGCTTCGAGGATTGGAAAAAACGTTGGCACAAGTGTATAATATCTGATGGGGATTACTTTGAAGGGGACAAAATAGATATTCATGAATAAATAAATAATTTTTGAAAAAACACAAAATTCGCGATACTTTTTGAACAGACCTCGTATATTTTATATCTTACAAATAGCCTTTATATATTTGTGCAAGACCGTTCTGGTAGTGAAAACATTACAATGTCTAAAATAGCAGACGAATAAAAATAATAATTCTGTGATATTGTGTACTTGGTAACGCCCGCGCAATCGTCCATACGTGCGCTCGTAAATTTCCTACACTGGTCGCAGTGGCTGAAACTAAATTCTAAAATTGCTGATGCAATGTTTGAGAATACAGACGAAAAAAAAATTATTTGTTAAGATCGTGTACTCGAAAGCCCTTTAAATAATGACGAAAGCCTGCGTGATCGCCATACCTGCGCGAAAATGTTGTACGATTGTCCCAGCGTTCGTAACCGAAATCTAAAAGTGCTGGTGAAATGTCTGAGACTACGGACGAATACAAAAAAATTTGTTGAAATCGTGTACTCGGAAGGGAACTGAATAATGGCAAACACCCGTGTAATCGCCCGTATGTGCGCTCGAAAATTTCATACACTTGTCCCAGCGTCCGGAATCAAAATCTAAAAGTTTTGATGAAATGTCTGAGACTATATACAAATAAAAAAAATAATTCGTTGACATTGTGTTCCCGGAAGGGAACCAAATAATAGCAAACATTGCTATCACTCATACGTGCGCTTGAAAATTTATTACGCTTGCCCCAAGAGCGTCCGGAATAAATGTCTAAAAGTACTAATGTAATGTTTGAGATTACAGACGAGTAAAAAAAAATAATTTGTTGAGATCGTATATCTGAAAGGGAACCGAATAATGGCAAACACTCGTGCAATTGCCCTTACGTGCACACATAAATTTTCTACGTTTATCTCAGTATCCAAAACCAAAATCTAAAATTGCTGGTGAAATGTCTGAGACTATAGACAAATAAAAAAAAAGAATTCGTTGAGATGTTTCCGGAAGTTCTTCGAACAATTGCAAACGTTTGTGCTATCGCCCGTGTGCTTGAAAATTTACTGCGCTTGCCCCAGTGTCCGAAATCAAAATCTAAAAGTACTGATGTAATGTCTGAGATTACAGACGAAAAAAAAATAATTCGTTGAGATCGTGTACCTGGAAAGGCATCAAATAATAATGAAACACCTATCTGTCCTGCCGTGCATGCGCTTTTAAATTTCATACAATCATAAATTTTCCATGGCCAATGTGATTTTATAATGCGCTTGCGTTTTAGTGATTGAAATTCACCCACCCTCACCCCGTCTTTTTCAATGCTTTCTAATCATACCATCATAATTGTGATAATACACGTTTGATATGCAACTTTACTCTGTGTGACAGCTTCATGTTATTGATTAAAAATGTCGAGTAAGTATTACATAATTTTTGACGCTTATTTCACGTCTGCTTACAATCTAGATTTTTATTCTATGGTCTTTTTAGAAAAAATTACAGCAATTGCTGAGGCTTTGCTCTTGGAGGAGGCTACTCCTATGGAGAATTTGCAGCGTATGCTGAAAGAAGTTGTACTTAACAAAAAAAAGCAGCAAAAGCAATACGAGGCTCTTTTGGAACAACAGAAGCAGCAGCTGCAACAGCTACAACAGCAACAACAGAATGATATATTATTTACTCTTTACATAAATAATATTCGGTTTTCTGTGAGTAGCAAAATCTTAACCTAACCTTATACTTCCCGGATATTCGATACATCCCTAATATTTTTATTCTTTTTCTAGGACATTTATTTTTGTTTATAATCTTTTTATATTTTCTTTTTTATCTTTCTTCTTATTATTCTTCAGTAAATCGTTGACAGGAACGTCATAGCCGGGCACGGTGGTACTTCTGCCGTTACTATCAGATCCCACCAATTGTACAAAATATACAAGAGGACGATCGCAATGACGGCCAAGGTAGCAGTGATCATAATGGCGGTGCTCTAAGTGACGGTGATCGAGATGACGGTAGTCGTTGTGGCGGTTGTCATGGTGGTAGTCATCGTAGTGGAGGTTATCGTGGTGACGCTATCGCAGTAGAAGAGGATTTGGCCAAATTTTAAAACGAAGGCTAAAGCCAAATATAACCATTATAAAAAATTACTAATTTTATATCTATGTTAATTTATCTATATTTATATATATATTTGTTTAATTGATTAAAAAAGTACATAATTCGTATATTTGTGGCTTGTTTTTATATCAAATCTGCGATTTCTACGAATGCAAAAATAAAATTTTTCCAATTTTTTTTTAAATTGCGTAGTTTAAATAATAGTAACTACATTTTTAATATTATTATTAATCGTTTTAAATGCTTGTAATTTCCTAAATTAGGTTTTTTTCATATTATTTTTTCTCTCTTAGTTTTTTCATAATACAATTTTAAATCTAAAATTGGGATGCAGCGTAAGCCGCCACACTTGTGTGTAAAACAAACCATGATTCTCAGATTATTTAAAAGTCCGAAGACAGTCACATCTGAGATAATTTTAAACAAAGAATATATATTGGATTATTCAAAACATCTAACTTTGACTAGTTAGTGAAGTTTTCTATCGTATTTATGTATTCATTTACACGATAGTATATTATTCTTATACATAATCTTGTAGGTAGTTTATACAAATAATTCCTGTAAAAGAAAAAGAATAGGAATACGTAGCATTACTGTATCAGTTTTGCAGCCTATTTTATTAAAAGCTCATTTTTGCTTATCTTACAAAAAAATTAATTATTACAAAATTATAAACAGAATAAAAAAACCTACTTATGCCGTGAACAGATCGTTTATATGAGCGAATAATCCGTCACAGGACCAAATTTCGGTCCGGGAATTTCTAGCAAACGATCTTCGGACGAGAAAAAAACGCAGCACAAATTTTTTTAATAAAGTAATTGTGCTGACTTCACGTACATCAGTAAACCAGACGAATTTGACGATTCTCAGTAATTAATTTTTTTCATGATTGTTGCAAAAATTATAAAATAGTGTATGATTTTAGATTTAGTTTAGTCCAGATTTAGAGCAAGTTCCTGTGCTCACGGAAGGTGATACAGTCATTACCGGACATCTTATATACAAAAATTTAAGCTTCTATAAAATGTGCAGAAAGTCCAAGGTGTTATCGATCCAGTTCTGGCGAAAACTCTACAGTGTATAGTAGTACCACGAATAAATAAATGGACATGCCAAAAAGATTATATAAACAGATATATAGTGACATCTCGAATGACATGTTATGGATTTCAGGAGGGGGGCATAGATGCTTGTCAAGTAAGATATAAATGCAATTTAATGTTTATTATTTATATTCGTTACATGTATAATATGCAGAGAAAAATTTAAGAAGGAACTGGCCATCCTTTTCCGGTTTCTGTCAGTTTTCCAGAGCTATTGAAATTGCCCATACACTATTATTAATATATCTATTTTCGATTTAAGTACTGTTGATGAAATCTTGATATAAAAATTAAATGTGCATACGTTCTAATCTATGCTATGTTCTTATTTGTGGATTTTAGTTTATTATTGTGAGTGTATCACGAACTCGCATCTATTTGTATTTATTTTCGACAACCAATTTTCTTCTACTTTTTCTTTTTATAATCCGTTTCAGACTTAAATAAATCTTAGTATCATGCAGTAAAAAATTTAAAGAGGACTTCCAAATGAAAGAAATTTGATCAATTGGCCCAATTAAACTGACAATCCTTCTAAAAAAAAAGAGTACGTATACGGATGCGTCAGGATGTGTCAGGTATTTGAGGTATTTGAAATATTGATTTTAAAACTAAAATTTGTATATTTCTTAGAAAATTTATTGTATTTTAATTAAATTTTTACAGCAAACTAAGTGACTCATAGGCTATACAATTAATCGATAAAATCGCCTTCACTGACAATAACAGCTTCAATTCTCTGCCGGAAACGTTTGCATACTCGAATCAAATGATCCTCGTCCATATGCGTCATTACTCTGGTAACAGCTGCTCTTAGAGAATCAAACATGTTGTGGGGATGTTTATTGGTCTCCCGTTCAACGCCTCATACGTAGTAATCCAAAGGATTAAGATCTAAGGAGCTAGGTGGCCATATGTTTGGGGTTATGTGATCATATAGATTCTCGGATATCCAATCTTATGTCGTCATGGTTTTGTGTGAAGGAACAGAGTCCTGTTGGAATACGTATGGCCTCTCATCACGCACGCTATCTATCCAGAGTTTCACAACTGTTTCCAAAACCTCAATGTAGGTAGCAGCTTTTACCCGAAGTTCTTGAGGAAAGAAGTGGAATGGCATGACGTGTCCTTCATTGCTCACCACTCCCAAAACCATGACAGTTGCCGGAAACTTATGTTATGTGCATAACATAAGGAACATCTGAATAATCCGCACATAGCCACCTATCATTTCGTCGGTTTATTTTTTTATCCTGGTCAAAATTTTTTTCGTCAGAATAAAATCAGAGCATATCCGGAATTTCAGGATGTTTTAACTTGTTTAAAAGTCGTTGCCCGGATGAATCGCTGTTCTTGAGTTTGTGCCGACATAAACTGACCTTTGCGTATCACGTAAGACTACCGGATGTCTTCGTGGACAATGTGACGGAATTTGATTCAGAAATTTGAAGGTCTCTCGATATGGCCCTTATGGATTTTGAAGGCTCTTCATCAATAATGCCCTGGACTTGCCGCACAAAGTGTGATATTCTAACTCTGTTTGTGCCTCATGTTTTTTGCACTTGGTAACACTTCCCACATTGCCATCAGATGCTTCTAACTCTCGACTTTGTGAACAAACGATTGGGCTTTCAAAAATTGGGAGATTTCAAGATTGCTGTGATTCGCGTGTATAGCGACGATAACATTATCTTTTCATTTCCTGAATCAACTTATTGTCCTTCATATATGATCTGAAAAGAAAAAAAATAAAAAACTTGCTATGAAAATTTGGCAGGCACATATGTGAGTGTCCTCAAATACCTGACGCACCCTGTATTAGTGCATATTTTGCAAGAAATCTAAAAGAAGAGAGACCCCTTCTTCTAAACCAAAATTCAACAACAACATTAACTATGGCTACAATATAAAATAACTTGTCTTATGTAAAAACTGAAGAATAAATTTAGTCACTTTAAAACTGAGATTGCTAAGCAAATATTCCTAAGTAATATTCCTAAATAATATTCCTACTAAGAAAGGATCTTGCAATTTATTTTCTTTCAAAGATTCAATGAAAGAAGATCTGAAATGAGAAAACAAGAGACAAACCTAAAAAATATACGTAATCAAAAATAGGGAACACTTTTGAACACGTTCAAAATTGCGCAATATTCTGATGAAGCCCGTGACGACTCGTTATAAGATTTTCGGGAGAGTTATTTTCCGCGTCCACCTAAGTATGACTAAGCCACAGCCTAGTCATTGTTAAATCTTGTCGCGTATCGAGTTGCATTGTTGTATCGGAATTTTGTATCGTGGTGTCTGCGTGTACTCTATCTTTTCTGACTTTCTGTAAAACGAGCACGAGGTCACGCTGCATTTGTGATAATACCGTAACCGTCTTCTATCTCGGCTATCAAGGCGTCGAGCTATTGTTCATGCGATTTACGAGAGATATTCTTACGTGGCGTGAGCTCGTGCCGTTGAGAATTAGCATAATTAATACGCACTGTGTAGAGTGTATCGGGGCCTGAAGCTAAAATAACGCATTTCGATTGAATCCTGTCGCCGTGATCTTGTCAACGAATACGAACGAAAATCGGAGATTAATCAAATATATTTGTTATTTTTATTATTACTAATTATTATGTGATTTAGTGCCGTCGCCCATTCGCTTCTCCAAACGATCCTCTATTCTCGATCACGAACCTCCCCCTCTGCCATTTCCGAGGCTCAGCTACCGGTTACGAGTATCGTCGACGTTCGCAGCTTGTTAGAATATCATATAGAGAATATACCGAATGATTCTGAGAAAGAGTGGCACGATCACCTGGCGCCCAACTATTGGTTTCGAGATTTTGCGTTACCCTTCAAAGTGGCTGCGTGAAGGCATATTTCTGTCGCGTTTCTTTTAAAGTCACTCGCAACCTGACTGTAAAAACGAGAATATTGGCTGCGAACGCGCGACAAAGTTGCGCCACGCTCGTGAGTGCGGTTGTAATATCTACTTTGTTTTACTACCCATCCGTCATATCCTTTGCTCCGACGCGCTAGTAAAAAAGGAAAAGGAAAAAAAACACAACATATTGTGAAAACTAAACTGTCATAAAAAAAGAGGAAAAAAAGGATGTCGTACTTGTACTCTATCGTGGCGCGCTATCTTTTTTCTAGCATGCGAGCCATTGTTATTCACACATTTTTGTAATGTCTAGAATTCTATAATTCTATGGGCTGCAAACATTTATTTGTTTATTATTTCAAGTGTTTCATTTCTTCCTTAAGTATTTCCTGTGCAGTGCAAATATAAAATGTATCCTAGGCAGCATTGCTATGGCAAATAATGCTTCTCAGCGTCAGTATTTGCCGAGTCTTGTCTGCATGCGCAACACCATTATAACACAATTTGAGTGAACGCTATCGATTGAGCGTAGAATCTGATCGGTTCGTTATTGAAATCTAATAATTTCAATCCCTTGTAACTCGGAATCTCGCATGAAAAGTAGCCACAGTAGTGTCGTTGCGCATGGCTTAGCGCCGAGCCACTGTCGTGTCCCTTGATACAACTATCCCCCGCGCTCCACTTTCCCTCGTCTACGAGTATCTCCCGCGCTCCCCTCAGAGGACCTGAATTAGAATCAGCTCTACCTCACTACTATTCCCTGATCCTTTTTTTTTTACGAGGAGGAAATGCCTATGCACTACCCTCCCCCCCTCACCTCCCAGGGATAGGGCGAGGGGGAATGTGGGACTTGCACCTCTTCGAATGTCTCTGCCTTGGCGTTAGTTGGAGAGACCGGGGCTCCCGTGCAGTATTCTACCCGGTCTCCCCGCGCCATACTTGCGCTTTAACCTCGGGGAGGAAGGGCCTCGTTGTGGCGCAAGGCAACCCGCTTCCGCCCTTTGAATACCTCCCGGGTCATTACCCGGGAGAGGGGGAATCTTGTTCTACTGGACGAGGGAGGAACACCACCTCTCCTTCGCCCCGCCCCCTTGTTGTCGTCCAGCAAGTGCTCCACTTGCAGGGCGGCCCTCCATCTTTTTCCTTGCAGAGCGGAGGAAGGACACTGTATGTCTATCGGAGGCGGATCTTGCCGCCCGACACGTTCGCCAAGGGGCCGGAGAAGACAGGCGCTCCGAGCTAGTCCCGTGTCACAACGCCGATGGAGCTCCCGGGGGACCAGGAGTCCCCCGCAACAGGCGCGGATGTACCCCCCGCTAACGCGTGAGGGAGGCGCCTCGGCGCCACCCTTCTGTGCCCCACTGCGCGAGACTCTCCGGCCCCACGGGTCCCTGCTCCATGCGTCCTGCAGGCATTGCCCGACAGCAACGCCGTCCAACACGTGCACGCCTGTTACACCCCCAACCGATGCGCGTTTACTCCCTCTTATCCTCGCTCCTTTCTGCCAAGGGTCATTCCCGCCGGGAGCCCCACCATCTGCTCCTCCGTCCCCCACTGGAGACAGGGACGCCGCAAGGAGGGTGTTTCACCCGCTGGCCTCTCTTGCACGCTTATCGGCCTCCTTCCGCAACATTATCACCTCGCAGAAGGAGGCCATTGCATGCCTTCTCGCTCTGCAGTATCGCCCGTATCAGCGCGCGGAGCGAGAAGTTCTCACCTACCACCGCGACCAAGGCCGCGCGGCACTCTCCATCCCATTGTTGACACATCTGGAGAGTGTGCTGCGCCGAGTCCCAGTTGGTCGCACTGTGGTGGCACTGTGCCGTGGGCTCCCTCCCTATATGACACAGGTACTCCCGGGCTGAAGTACCCATACCCAGAGAGCACCATCTTGTAGGACAGCCCATCCCACGCCCTGATGACCCACTCCTGAAGGCAGGGCGCGAGTGACACATACATTAGCTGATGAAACTTGCAAAAAATATGTTTCTTATGAGACAATGAGACTGACGAAACCGAAAGTCATGAAACAATGGCTGCGTTCACGTTCAACAAAACGTTTGTTTTTCCTTGCACATAAATTAATTGTGTCAATTGTGCGTATCTTAACAAATCGAATTGTATGACTCTGACACATATCGGTTAGTTTCAATAACTATTATTTTTTGTTCTGCTATTAATTAATATTTTTAGATTGTTGTATGATGTAATTCTAACAGACATATATGTTTTGCTATAGTTTATTTATGTATCAGTGGCAGTAGCGAACCATTTCACTATAGTTCATAAATTTATAGTTACGACTGCAAACATAGTTTTAACCAATCATGATTTGTTCGGAGAGCGAAAATCTTTTTTTCCGTGTAATAAGTTGTCAACTGGTATCATATCTCGTAACTAGATAGCAAAAGAGCATCAAAAAGAGAATCGAGGACTCTGAGCACAGAATAACAAATCTCAAAAATGGCGAACAACCTGCGGGTGCCATTACATGAAGCATGAAAATGCAGAAAAGCGGAAGACAAAATTAACTAAACTTTACTAGATTTCCCCGTTTCCGCGCATTCTGTTCCGCCTATTTTGATCTAATATTACATGGAGTACAATTTCCGCGGAAAAACGGAACGATATAGTAATAAATACACTTTTGTATTTATTTTAAAAAATTGTATTTACTTAATTCATTGCAATTTTTATCAATATGCTTATCTTTTCAGCTTATGTATTGAATACAAGCATTTCAATCAAAATAAATAATTAAAAATTAATAATTTCTAATTTCCCGTTCTGCTTTTCCGCTCAAATTGTTATGCATGTAATAATAGAAAATCAAAACAAGTGAAAAAGAACACGCAGAAATCTAGTAAAGTTTAGTTAATTCTATCTTTCGTGTTTCCGCATTTTCGCGCTTCATGTAATGGCACCCTAACAGGATAAGAGTCATATACAGAAATATCTCGATTTTATCACCAGTAGCTACGGGTTAATTTCCAAATCGAAAATAGATGTACTGACGCTAGTGTACGTATTTCGACAATTTCACGAGAAACGTCGGGATGGCCTCTCTCAAATTTCTCTTTGCTATACATCATTATTCATATAATATAGGGTGATTCTGGAGGGCCAATAGTGAATACTAACAATATCCTCCTCGGCATAACTTCATGGGGAGATGGTTGTGCTGAAAAGAATTCGCCTGGTGTATACACAGATGCAATATTACTTCGGCATTGGATTAAAAGCAAAACTGGCATAGAAACTTAAAAAATTCACTATTATAATGTATGTATAAATACAATTAATTAAAATATAATTGTCTGTTATATATCTAATCTTTATGTTCTTATATCAAACTTAATTCATAACTACATAAAATATTATGTTATCAGAATGTTCAAACACATTTAACACTATACAGAAAGTTTTACAATTTTAATTGTAAAATTTCTGATATGACTAATTGTTGGCATTTTGTCTATTTTCAGAGGTAATATATTTGGAATCCTCACGCAGAGAAAAAGTTTATTATGATCGCTCATCCCTTGCTGTAACATCAAATTCTATTTGTGAATGTAAGGATTGCAAAATTATTTACAGGTGTAACAAATAAAATTTGTCGATTTATATTTGTTAATCTAGCAATCAAGATTTGCTGCAGTTGCAATAAAAATAAATATATTTGTTAAATAAGCAAAAGATATATAATTATATATAATATTTAGAGATAAAGATTAAGACGAGATTAAATTAATTAATTAAAATGAAGTAAAAAATGGAATTCCTTCTTTTTATTATTACATGTATATTAACAAAAATTTACAATACATGGAACAGGAAACATATTTACAATGAAGTACATAATACGATATTTATGACGCTTTTACAGATCTTTATTTCAGAGATATCAGAAAGTTTGCAGATTATCGTCGTGTCATTAGCAATGAATAATGACACGGCGATAATCTGCAAACCTTCTGGCATGTCTGAAGTGTAATATGTATGTTTATACTGAATAATGAAATTATAACACTAACAAATTAATAAACTAAATGAGCTATTCTTTAGATGATAACGTAATCACACTCAGAAATTTCCGGGCGATTGAAAGCAATAATAGCGCAGAAATTGGTGCGTTTGATCTTCACAATAATATAATATATTTCAATTCTTACATAACATATCGATCGAACGTTTCAGCTCCATTCGAACCATTTTCAGCAATGTAGTAATTACATGTGATGTTCTTGATTGTAAATCATGTGATGTATTTAATCGAAGAGTGTAGTAAATAAAGTCTCTCAAATCCAAATTTAAAAGCGTAACTGTCAGAAAGCTGTACGGCTAAATGATCGTACATCACACACAAATTGTAATCTGTATTCCGAGATGACTGACAGATTTCCAGTCTTTTTGTTAATGTCATTACAGTGTTCCTTAATTCTTGTATTCAACTTTTTCCCAGTCTGTCCTATGTAGGATACTACATACTCGTACATGTAGGATACTACACTACATTTCTCTTTGAATCATGTTCAAGTAAATCTTTTTAAGCCTTAATAATCCCATCAAGTTTATTAAAACTGAAGAAAGATATCAGATATCAAAGACAATCTGATATCAAGATTTTTAGTGATGTTTTTAAACTTTTTATAAATAAATGATAAGAATGGTAAAGTAAACCATGATATTTTTTTCTTTATCTATTTGAATATCTTTCTTTTTATTTGATTGTCTCAGAACTTTTGTTTAAATAAAGATCTAAGTCAGTAGTTAATAGTATCAAAAATAAACTTTATAGAATAGTCATTGTCTAAAAACGTTTTAATAATAAAATTTAAGTTATCCTCATGATATTTGGGGTGGGATAATAAAAATACTTTTTACCATCAAAACACCCTTCTTTTGAGAAAAAGGGTGGAGAGATAAAAAGTTAAGATAACGTCCTGAGAAGGTTGATTTGTGCATTAAAAAATACAATACATTAAACTCTAATTTACAATTCGAATTCGAGAAAATTCAGTCTTTCATCTCCAACCTCTAAGGTAAATTGTATTCTCGGATGTAATGAGTTAAAACTATATATTATATTCATTGATGATTCGGGACCACCGTCGCAATATCATCAACATATATATAGTAGAAAGATACTTTGTAATCAAATCTCTCCAATGCCTCTCTCTCCAGATCTTTCATTACTAAATCTGTAATGATGAGCGACAACGGAGAGCCCATAGAAGTCTCAAACTTTTGTCTATAAATTCTTTTATCAAAAGTGAAAAATGTAGATTCCAAAATCAATTTTAAGGCTTTCAAAAATTTATTTTTAGGAATGCTACAAGACCGCGAGAAATGCCACCTTTTATTTACACTTTTCAAAGCTATGGGTTGATATGATGACGTTGGTGAACAATGCCACCATATCCAACAAGATTAGCGAGAAGTTTTCATTAAGTTGTGCTCCATTAATTGGTGATGTACTGACATTGACAAAAACATAGTGATTATAATTTTTTAATCTATGACTTTTGAATATGTACATAATATTACCATATGTGTGACTATCTTTATAATGTATATCCAAGACTTTTGTGTCTTAAATATTTATTTTATTCTATGACTTTCCTTTATACTCAATATAATGTTTTTAATGCTCATTTTTGTCACGAATATTTTTTGTTTGATATTGAAGTTCATAACGGTATCAAATAATTTTTCTTAATTTACGTTTTGACACATTATTATTATATAATGTCTTACAGTGTGCAGTCAAGGAGTACAGTAGGTAAGTCTTTTCAAGATTCACTTTTCTCTTCACAATTGTCTTGCGCTAATTCTTTGTTATCTTTTAGCGATCATTTAGTCGTACAGCTTTCTGACAGTTATGCTCTTAAATTTGGATTTGAGAGACTTTATTTACTACACTCTGATTAAATACATCACATGATTTACAACCAAGAACATCACATGTAATTACTGCATTGCTGAAGATGGTTCGAATGGAGCTGGAACGTTCGATCGATGTGTTATGTAAGAATTGAAATATATTATATTATTGTGAAGATCAAACGCACCAACTTCTGCGCTATTATTGCTCTCAATCGCCTGGAAATTTCTGAGTGATGATTGTGAAATTATAACACATTTGCAGCCACTCGCTGCAATGTAAATAGATAATGGATTTAACAAAATATCAATTTTTACATAAATAAATGTATCATCTGTTTTTACTTTGTATTCTGTGATATGACTATCAAATTTGATATTAATTATATCAGTAACAAATACAAATGATGAGGATTAAGTATAGTTGAAACGTATCGTTGAAACTTATCGTCGGAAAATTATAATTTGTGATTAATAAATATTATTTAGTACACCTAATTATAGCTCTTTAATGTATTAACCTGAATTTTACTAAATAAATAACAATAAATAAAAGGCAAAGTAAGAGTGAATTCTTTAAAAAAGTCATACAATTAAAAAAATAAAATACAAATAAAGAAAAATAAAATTGAAGAAAATATATAATAAAAAATAATAAAAATTAAATAAAAAA